GAAAGGGTCAGGGAGGTCGACATCAGTTCGTAATGTCAAGGTACTTGTTCTGTGCACAAGGGAACGAAAGGCAGGAGAGAAGAGAAGCTGGCGAAGGAGGGTGAAGGAAGAGGATGATGTAGAATATAAGAAGAATGATAATGATTAAGTCAGGAGGAATGTATTAGGCCTTGAACAGTGGTGTTCAAGCAGGAGAAGGAAAAGCACGAGTGAAGGGTCAACCTGCCTGCACTCACATTAACAGCCCACGATAAACCAATTCCCACCAAGGACAATGTTAATCAAGCTCATAAAAAGTGGACACAGCCACAGTCGTAGCCTACCACAGAATAAATACTGCAAGGCACTTGAAGTACGCCAAATTATATAAAGGTCTACAAAGGAGGATATCTGTAGAACACTTACTACAAACTAAGAACTTGCAAACTCAGACGAGTTCAATAAATTAAATAATAAGTAGCGTCTCACACACTGAGTTACTTCTAAAGCCAGCAGAGCCCTCTCAGGCTATTCTTTTTGCAGACACAGAGACACCAGTCTGTTTCCTACATACAGTCCAATATTAAGTGACAGACAGACCAACGCATGCACACACACACATAAACACACCAGCTCAACTGAATACTATATTCAGTTTCAAACAATGATTAATGACCAGCAGCCCTCCACATATTAAAAACACGCAGGAAATCAGCAACACAGAGAGGAGTAAACACTGGGATGTTTATCTCGTCCTCCCACAAAGTACACTCACACAGGCTGACGGACAGACAGGTGTTGGGCTCTGAAAAGGCCACAGTGTCTTTATAGTCAGCCCTCAGTAAAGGTTATTAGACATCAACCAGAACCGGCGGCTGTCTCAGCCAATAAAAGATGGGAAGTGTGTGTGTGTGTGTGTGTGTGTGTGTGTGCAGGCCAGGAGGCAGGGGGGTCAAATTAAGGAATGCCAAGCAGGAGCCAGGACTCACCGTACAGGTGAATGCAGATGGGACAGCTGCCAGTGTTGACATTTAAATGACATCTACAGATAAAGTCAGCCATGTGTACGTGCACACAGCTGATAATGTATATGACGCGGGCGAGGCTTAGTGTGTATGCAGTGTGTACAGAAACTGAAGGTCAGGCAAAATTATGTCCACATACACACCGACAGTCAGTCTTTAAGTTCCTGGTATTCTGTTTATAATATGAATATGGAGAACCTGGAACAGAAGGCTTAGTGACACTGGGACAAGGTGATGGGATTGGACAGGTGTGCATATACGAGCGTAAGCCTGTGTGTCAGCGCTTTGTGCCAGAACAGCAGGTGGCTAGTCAAAGGACATCAGTGACCTTCTCCTTATCCCTCTATCATCTCTCCCTCTGTCCCCGAGTCCCAATTCATCTCAGTCGGGTCTGAGTGCACCCGTCTCTGCACAACAAGCCATGGGCATATTGAGAAGATGAACACAAACACAGGTGTGGGTGGTTTATTCATGAACTCATGTGAGGGTCTGTTTTGACACAGCTTCGCTGAATAATGTAAATGTGCAGTGTGTCCTCTGAGCAGAGTGGAAAAAAGGCTGAAAAAGACGTGTGAAACACAAATGTGTTGGCGTGTGTGTTTTTGTTTGCGTGTAGTTCTTACCTCGAGAAGCTGATGGAAGCAGAGGTGGAGGATTGAAATGGAAGTGGAGTTTGGTGGGAGGAAGAAGAAATGTGGGAGAAAAAGAAGAGACAGACACATTGTTGGTTAACGGTAAAAAAAGATACTGCAAAACCTCAGTAGTAAAAACAAAAAATAAAATGTGCCAGAAACACTCACTTTTGGTCTGTGACGAGAAGGACAAGGTGAGTTTGGCAAAGAGCTCGTTGCTTTCAAATTGGTCCTCCTTTGACTTGACCCAAAAACTGTTCTCACAGAGATCTTCAGCTGTGATCTGAGCAGCAAATGCCAGTATTTTCACAGCAAGCGAGAAATTAAAAAGAAAATAAATCTGTTAGATGAAATTTTAAGAGCATTTTTATAAAAACAGTATGAATGCAATTTCATATTTATAAATTAGATTTGAATGCATTTTAATGTATGGTCAGAATTCCGTCCATTAACTTGTTCTTTCTGTAATGCATAGTTTATACACATGTCAGTTACACACACTGCAGAGAAAGTTCATTTTACAGAAGCACCTCAAGCTTCAAATACCACATCAAAGCCCAGCAAGCGTTTTGGGAGAGTTCAACTTCATGTCAGATGCCCAGCTTGAATCAGACCAGCTTCAATAAGCATACGGCAGTAAGTAAGTCTACAACTGACAAGTCAACTGACACAATTGTCAAATGGTTTGCAAGGCACAGAAGACTAGTTGCCGTTATTGAGGACAGCAGCTTCACCAAAGTTTTGAAAGTAACTCTTGACTGAACTTTGAATCCATTGGCAGCCCTGGAATGTATGTGAATAAGGAATGGGCTCAAGCTTTGTAGTACAGGGAGACAACAAGGCTGAAGGACATTCAGGAAACAACGAGTTGTTCCTATGAATTGTAATTAATTATCTCCACTATAATAGTATTGTGTGGTGTGTATTGTGAACACAATGGCGAAACAAACATCCTTAGTTCTCTCCTTCCTGACCCCTAATTTACTGCTGCCACCCTCTCTATTATTTTAGTTGTTCTGCACTATTTTTGGTCACTAAAAGGCATAATGAACTTGTTTTTTTTTATACAATTTCTGAGTGTTATTATAAGCAATGGAAAGAAACGGAAGCTAAAAAGGCAAACAGAAATGCCATGGTATTAAATTTACAGATATCAAGCCTTTCATTATGGACAAAGCCTGAAGGGATAGGAACGTCAGATGGAAAACGGAGTGTAAGAAAAAGAAATGTGATATTAGGATGAGCTGAAAAAGGGCAAAAAGAAAGCAAGAGAGCAAGCAAAAAAACTTCATTTAAATTACAAAAGAACACAGTCCTTTCTAGCAGCAATTTAATTATCTTTCTGCGGTGCAGTTAAAAGAAGAAGACTTATTAAAAAGCAATTTCTCTGACATCCTTGTCAAACACTCAAGAGAGAGTGGGGAGTCAGAGAGAGAGAGAGAGAGACAGAGAGAGAGACAGAGAGAGAGAGAGAGGCAAGGGGAGAGTAAATGTTGATGAAGTCTGCTGAAGCCATTAAACAGTAGCTTTGGGCTAAAGAAAGACAGAGGGCAGTTTTGATGTTTTAACCATCACAGATGAGAGGGAGAAGAACAAGACGCACATTGTCATGAGACACACGTATGCATAGCAGTCACATTAGAATCTGGCTGTTAAGGCTCAGTCTCACACAAAGGCCCATTTCATATGCTGCTCAAGAACTTGTCTAATAAACTTTAAATTAAGTTTGAATAATTTAAACTGAAATCCCCATTTGCTTTTTTTAGACATAATATACATATGTTATAAGGAGACACTAAAACACTATCGGCTGACAACTGATCTCACAGTAATTTTGATTTCAAATAATGTGATTCTTTTGTTTTGTTTTGACTTTTCTTTTTGGAAACATTTTTAGCTTTGTTGGAAAAAACTGTCAATTTAAATGCTTCTGGTAAATGAATATTCATCAGGTACAAATTACATGTTTTAGCAAAGATAAAGATTTCCCAGAATGCTAAAAAACTAAAAACTGCATTGAGTTAATTTACTAACGCATTCCAAGTAAGGACAGCGTAGTAACATTCGAGTAACATTTTGTGAAGATGCTTTCAGTGGTTATCTGATTAATTTGTCAGAAGTGGTAGATTAATTGGTTAAAAAAAAAAGCATCCACTGGAGGCTCAGTCTCTCCAGGCCGCGATAGGTCCTGGCTCATCAAAATGTAATTAACTTTGCAAGATTATTGTCAGTCATTTTGTCAACAATGCTATTTTTTGAGAGACAGTGCCGAATTTGGTGCCTGTCACATTTGGTAGTTAGATATATTGTGAGAAAATTATGATTGTTAGCAGATCTCCTGTTGTATGGGATGGGAGGTACTGCTAAATTGTATAACAATTTGTTTGCAAATACTGTTCAGAATGTTCAATGTATCAACTATCAAAAACATAAACTGAAAATTATCAATAGATAAATAATCAATCAACAGAAGACTAAATTAAACACATGCCCCTGTAGATCATTGTCCACAGCTACAGCATCTATTTATGGTCTGACCTTGCTCCAGTTGGCTCTCTTCAGTTGGACCTCAGGCTTGTACTCTTTCTTAGGTTGGAGCCCAAAAGGCAGCGGTGCAGGAGTACCCCAGCCTCCCATGCCAAATGGTGGAGGTGGCGGCATGCCTGGACCTGGTGGTGGAGGGGGAATACCAGGACCCCCAGGTGGAGGTGGAGGTGGTGGTGGACCCATTCCAGGAAGTGGTGGCGGTGGAGGTGGGCCCATTCCAGGAAGCGGTGGAGGTGGTGGTGGACCCATCCCAGGAAATGGTGGGGGTGGAGGAGGGGGAGGATGACCCATCCCAGGAAGTGGTGGAGGTGGAGGTGGTGGTGGAGGACCTATCCCAGGTGGAGGTGGAGGAGGTGGTGGTGGAACTGGTAAAGGAGGATGGGGCGGTGTGAATGGAATAGCTGCATGACCTGGTAGAGGAGGTGGAGGTGGAGGTACATAATGGCCAGAAAGAGGCGGTGCGGGTGGTGGAGGAGGCACATTTGGTGTTGGGACAGGGACAGGAACTGTGACAGTGACAACTTTAGTCTTGGCCTCTTCCAGATCTTTAGACAGCTGCTCAATCTGCAGGTAAGAACACAGTGGTAGACATTAAAAATTAATAATAATAATAGTTAGAATGGTCATCACTTTAAAAAGACTTAAATAGTGACTACTTTTTACAAGTAGCACATCACAGGGTAACAGGATTAATGGATTATGGATTCAAATAACACTGATTAATCAATATGAATCAATAAACATGACAAAAATATATATTGTTTTATTGTTTTCAACCAGCAGATGTATGCGTTTCACAGCCATTTTGATTCATTTATATATTATTTATGACTAACAACAAACAACAAAGTATAAAAGCAGTATATAATAATAGCTTAAATGGGTGTGTAAGGAAATGTGTAACCAACAGGAGGCCAAGGCAAAGAAACATAGCAGTGGTGTAAAAAATTAAAAAACTATTGCATTTTTAGTTTTTAGTATAAATTTCAGGTTTATATTTGAGAAAAGATGTAGAAAATTCAATAAAGTTAGCCCAGCTAATATTTGAGTGAGAGAAAGATTAGAAAAACCTTCTGAGTGATTTTAAAAAGAACACGAAAAGATCAAAATGAACCATAACAAACTGAAATTAATTCAGTGAGTGAACCTCATTTGCCTAAAGCGATTGCAAATTGCTCAAATAACTAAGCAAAGTAAAAAAAAAAGTGATCACACAGTGAAGTCACTTCAGTGTGATGAGTTTTTTTTTTTAACCGAGCTGTGTAGTTTTAAAACTGACAATTTTAGACACTGACACACTTTCGCTAACAATAGCTGTGATATTGGTTCTGTACTGATTCCCAAGTAAGATGTTTGGTGCAAGTGTTTGCACATACCAAAACAAATCATGATTTTTCCTTATACTTGGAATAAAAGATAAGCATAAAGAGCCTACAAGGCAGACTTTCTTAGGGAGGCAGCAGATGAAGAGTTGGGAACAGCATCAGTCAAACAGTGAGAGATCTCAACATGTGATGAAATCTTTGTTGGGCAATGCATCATACATGGAGAGAGTGAGCCATTTTAGTTTGAACAGTTGGTTTGATGCCTGGCTTGAGATGCGGTTCAGTGGCATGTGTATTTCTGTGACTCATGACGCATAATTAAATTATCTCTCCATCTATTTATGCATATGTGTCTAAGATTTTAATCAGTTAATAAAGAAGGTGACTCTTCTGTTGTTAGCCTCACTAGGTGAAACACATTTCAGAGCTGCTTAATTCTCTGACAGACAGAGGCACACACAGGTCTGGGTCACTTGGTGCAAATGTGTGTCACTGCGAGGCAGAGTCCAGCTGGTGCCACAGTGGGGTGCTGACAGCAGCACCTACTGTATATGAACAGACATGTCACCCTCTACTATCCTGTAAGTTTATGATTCTTTCTCCAGCAGTTTCTACACTGTAATGTTCTTAGGAAATACTGCTCAAAATATTTATCTGTTCTCCACAATTTCTTTAGATTTTTTTTTTACCTTTTATACTTTTCTAGTAATTTTTAACCCACAAGGTTAACATTAGACCAAGATTTAGATGGGATATATTTTGTAGTCACTCTTAGTTAAGTATGGTCACTTAAAATAAGCAGAATTAAAATTTGTATTTGACAAAGTTGTTATATTAAATGCAATAAAAGAGTAATAATACAATATCAAACTGATAGTTTCTAATTTTCTAGTTTCTAATATTGTCCAAAATACAATATCAAACTGATAGTTTCTAATATTGTCCAAATTATTTTCACTAACATCTTTAGTTGTAATGACTGTTGCATTCAAACAAAGTATTGCCACCTGCTGCAAAGCATTTTACAATTCCCATTATCACCAAAACAGCTGCGAACAGAGATTTTATTGAGCCCGGTGGCAGTGAGTCCAAAATGGTTTCAACATATTGGTGGCACCGCTATGGGTTTTGTTTTATCTTCTTATGACAAAAAAATGAGAAGCAGTTTTTACATCTTGTCATGTAGTTATTGTTCAAACGAAACTATGATAATGTTGCAGAAATACAGAAGAGCTAATTCAATAGGTTTGTCACATTATGACTTACCACAGCCTTGAGAAAAAAAAGTACTTTGACTGGATTTTGACTTCAAAGAGAATTCAGAGGTGGGTGTGCATGTCTGCTAACGTGTACCTGCTGTTTCAGACTGCTGAGCTGCTGCTGTAGCCCCTGGTTCTCCTTTTCTTGCTCCTGCTTAGACGACGCCAGCTGTTCCTTCTCTTGGCTCACTTCACGCAGCTTCTGCTCGTAGTCACCCTCCAGTTTCCTCATCTCCACCTGCAACTCTTGGCGTGCCGTCAACTCTGCATCCAACTAATTGACATGTAAAGAGTCATAAGGGGTGACAGAAGAGGACAACTTTGAAAATGTCTTTACTTTTAAAGAGGCAATTTTAATCTAGGCAGTTTGTATTACTTCAACATGGTACAGATACCATGGGCTGTCACTGGGAACCTGCATAATCTTCCATTTTAAAGGGTTATCTTTTTGTATAATAAGTTCAATTAAGGATAATTCAGGATGCTTTTTAAAATCTGTAAAACCAGTGAATCTGATTTTTCTATGAATTATATAGGAGTGCAGTGCATTTGCAACCATTTACATTGTCCTGGAGATGCAGTTGTTTAGTGATATTTTAAAGACAAATTAAAGCAATTTCCTGAGATTCTAATGCTTGCAGTTTCATATTATAACATACAGTGTAAATGAGTGTAAATTACTGAGTTAAAGGGCAAATGTAGCTCATATTTTTCAACTTTCATTTTCATAAGGCTTCACAGCCAGAAAGTAAAAAGGAAGAAGAAAACATCTTGTTTATTCTGATGTTCTAGCTTTTTAAAAGTTTAAATAAGATTTCCATAAGAGGCAGACTAAATGAGTATGAATATACACACAGACATGGCTGTTTAATTTTAAGACAGCAGATCCATTTCCTCACTGTGGGTGTCCTGCAGACTCATCCTTAATTTTTGCCAAGAGACGGCCTGCAATTACCCCATCATGCACAACTGGCATTCTGGTGTGTGTGTGTGTGTGTGTGTGTGTCCGTATGTGGAGAAAGAAAAAGAAAAAGACAAAAATGATTTTTTGTTTTCCCGTAATGTGCTTTTGTGCCAGTGTGTGGCTATGATCCATTTGTAGTGTACTTTTTGTGTGGAGGCTAGTTTTACCTCCCTCTTGGCAATCATCCTGTCACTCAAATACAGACATTATAACAACAGCATGGCACAATCAAGGCATTTATCACCATGAGCGCCTGTGGGCGTAGAGTCATTTAGTTACATCATTAGAACATTTTCTGTTCTAAAAACTGATCCATTTCACAACATTCTTTGCACTTTAGACCAAATCTTAGCGGATCTAACTCTGTTTAAGGAAAAGTGAAGTCAATGATGACTGCCAAATCCTGTGTGTATATATATATATACAATCACATAGTATACATATATACATATATATATATATATATGTGTGTGTGTGTGTGTGTGTGTGTGTATTAACAGGTTTCCATAATATATCTGATAGTCAGTTGTCAGGCATGTGTACGCTCATTTTCAAACCCTCTGTTCCTGCCTTTGCCTCATTTGTCATCCTGTGGCAGCCAGACACTAGTTGTACAGAATTTCATTACGGTTCTGTTGTGGCTACTATGTCAGGTTTCTGTGCAATATGTGTCGGAGGGAAATGTCGGCTTTTACAATGCTGTTTCTCCAAAACCCCAATTTCAAAAGGAACCCGTAAAGCAATAGAGGATAAAATGTTTGTTCAAATATGAAGTAAGTTACCAAAAATATTCCTATTGATGAAAAAAATCGATCTTTGTTGTTCCTAATCTTGCAGGTCAGAGTTCCCACTCTTTTCTTGAAAACATTTTTTTTGTGACATATACTAATACTAATCCCAGGTCTGGGTCAAATGCTTTGAAAAGTCTTCTTTTCTGCTGTTGTACCTTACATTGTTGAACATTTACACTTGTTGACCATACAGCCTATCACTGTAACCAGTCCTAGTAACTACTGTATCTTGAACAGTCATCATTTGTGTGCATTTCACCTTCTTTCCCAGCTCAGCAGCTTTAGTCTCACTGGTTTCCACCTTGGTCTGGTCCACCATGTTGTCTGCAGATGAATAAAGTGTAAAAACAAAGGTTTAAAAGTTAAGGTGTAAAAGTTCCACACCTGGAGTTAGTGTAACAATCATTAGGTTTTATCTCATCAAACTGTCAAATTTACCAGAGTGGATATTGTATTCTTGGCCTAACTTTGTTCCAAGTAACACTATTTTCCTCTGCAGAAATAATACATTACCAACCAGTTATTTCTACAAAGATAAAATTTAATTCTGACAACATTAAAAAGTCGCAACGAAATGGTTTGGAATTAATCCCTTTAACAGATATTCTGCTTGACAATGGGCTGGATTATAAGGACACAGAGTAATCAACTCGGTACTCTTACTGAATAATCACAAGAACCACAGGTGGTTCAGTGCCAAAGGGTTTAACAAATTTGGGCAGTAAAGGAGCTAATTAACAGGGAGATGAATGCTACAAAGTCAGTGGATTAAAGCCATCTAATCAATGTGCCTGGAAGAAGGAACAAAAAGTTTGGGAGTGCTCAGGTAGAAAGGCTGGGTTTTAACACGCAAAACTAAACATGGAGATTGTGAGGTTAGGTAAGGACCTTCAGCAGCACAGACAATATTTCGCAGGAAAACAAGAGCTGCCACCAGATTCTGCATACCTCAAGGAGATTGTAAACAGAGTAAATGAAAGGAAAACTAAAAATGTTTTGATACAGCTGAAAGGGATTCATAATGAGACAAAAATAAAACAACAATTTCAAAGTTTTGCAACTGTATACAAGAACCTGGCTCCTTATTTGAAACCTGGTTATTTGAAAGGTACTGAAATGGTTCTTGCTTCTGACATGGTGGCTGGCATAAATGGGACAGAATTCGATGTGATCACACGAAGAGTGGAAAGGGGGGAAAACTGTGCTGATTTTCTGAGTTCAAAGAAAAACACTAAATAATGCATGCCGGGTAGAACTGGGCTGCTTTCCACCGATAATAACTCTGGCAATCTTAAAGGAGGCCAGCTAGTCAGGACACATTTAGCAGCGACGGAATTATAGCCTCCTGTGGTGAGAAACAGAGACCTGCCCTGAAGGAGTATTGAACTCTTGAGACATTGTCGGCACGAAAGCCTCTGCTCTGCTTTCATTCGTAGCCGTCAGCAGGTGTTTCCTACTCACTGAAGCGCAAAGAATCTATTGGAGATGAGCTCACCACTGTTCACAATTATTCCCAAAAAATTAGTAGGTAAATATTTGACTTGTCAATGCATGAGTAGCTGCGAGGATTATGTTATACTGAACATCTTTTAAAAAAGGGGCTTCAGATGTATCTAAAATTTTGCTCAGTATTTATTTTCCCCCGAAGCAACAGCTGGAAATGTCATTTCTTTGAGAGAAAAAAAGTTTTGGCCAAAGACAGTAGCACACATAATGCACAAAGCACTCTGCCTGATGCTCACTCTTCTGTTCAGGCACGGATCAAGACTTCTCCTTAAGAGGCTGTTGGAAAATACTACAGCTCTATGATCAGCTTTATCTCCTCTCAAAATAAAAAAAGACCAGTCACATTTTCCGAGGTTGGGTATTTATTACATTTACAACATTATGTTTATGCAGAGGAGATTTGAAGCCTATTTTTCTCTGTGTCTCCTGCTTTACTGGAGCCTTTTGTCTTCGTAATGTTACTTCTATTGTTCATTATGTACATGTAAATTAGGGTTGTCAAAATAAATGCACTGACAGTGATTATTAATTCATGAAATTTGATTGAAATGTTTAAGGCATTATATTAAATGGGAAAATGTTGTGCACCGTACGTGCAAAACTCCACCTTCCATCCACCTATTGTTGCTCTATTATGTTGATGTTTAAGTGATTTCTCTCGTTGTAATTGTTTTATTTTAAGCTTATGGCTTTTAGTGTGAATAAAAAAAGGCATTCACTTGCATCAGTTTTTTCCTCCAACCCTCTCCAATTATATAGACTTGGAAGGAGCAGCATGTGGCTCAAAAAAAATCTCTGAACACAGATGTATTCGAACCCTCACCATTTGAGTAAAAGATAATTGACCAAATCACTGATGTACAGCAGACCTATTGATAGACCTTGACATGTTCTTCTGCCCATCACTGCCGTGTCTGTCATGTCTCTATTCTCTATTGTTGGGTACCAGCCACAGTTAATAGGCACAGACTGACAGTCATGCTTAGTCCCTCTTTGGCACCACCCTGTGGTGTTTCTGGTATACTGAATGTACATGTACATTTTGGTCATATTAATTCACCCTACTCACCTATCAGGCCTTCAATGTTGAGGCTAAGGTTACGACACTTGAAGTCGGGGTCTGCTCCATTTCTGTGAAGTACGATCTGAGCGGTGCATTCGTCTATCAGCTTGTAGTACTGGGGCCTGTGGTTTCGATGGAGGGAGAAGACAATTAGGATAGAGAAAGAAAAATGCATAGACAACAGTGACATGCAGCTGATTTCGTACACTAACAATAAAAATGCTATAGTGCAGTGAAGTGAATAATAAAATACACCAATAATCTTGTATGCTATGTGGACAAAGAACCAAAATGACAGAGAGCAAGTAGGTCCATTTGTCCAGATAAATGTGTAATGCACACATGCTTTGTCACTCTGTCTTTGTAACCCAGACTGGCTTTCTGTGTGAGCATGACAGTTCGAGTTTCTTGTCACAAAGATTGATTGTGCGCAACTGTGTTCATGGGAGTGTGTTGGTGTATGCCCGGCGCCAAGTCCGATCAAGGCAGCGTCACACAGACACTCAATTTTAGAGGTGTCTTATTCCCTGACCCCATTAGAAGCTGCCAGAGTCACAAACTCAATACTTTATTCTGAGTGTGTGTGTATGTGTGTGCCCCTATTTCCCATATCTCTTTGTCACCCTGTCTGTGTCTAACACTTATTCCATTCTTCTACAGAGAACCAGTGTGGATTTTGTGGTGGAGCAAGAGTGCCATCTAGAGTCATTTTGGTTTAAAATATTTCTCAAAGGATGACCAACGATTATGTTTTTAAATTGAATTAATCACAAGGTATATGTGGATTTATCATGATTAATTATGAGTAATTATGAGTCTAGACAAACCAACATTCCTAAATACGATAAAAATATTTTTTTCCTATAGCACAAATACCAGCAGGGAGACGTTGGATGATGTATAATCTCAAACGCCTTAATAGTAGGACAAGTTTATATCAGTATACATTCAGCAACACGGACAAAAAAAAAGCCAAACCAACTGAGAGTTGTTCAAATCTACCAAGTTAAACAGTCTTTGGGGTTTTCCAAAAAGAAGTCTGTGCAGCACCATACATATGACTACTTAGTGTTTGAACTCACCTACAAAATCAATAGCCTTCAATTTAAATTTGAGATTGCAATACAGCAAGACAAAGACAAAAAAAAGGGGGCCAGAGAAGCAGGTACTCAATCGTTCTTCCCGAGACAAATATAACTCTTCGATTCTTGCACGCACCTTCTTCATACTCTCAGCATCTACCTAGCAATTTACGTCAACTCCCAATTTCTTTTTTTCATTATTGTCACAGCCTCTGCCTCTCTTCTCTTTTCATCTTGGTAATTACCAGGCTGTATTTTCTGTCACTCTACAGCTCTTTCCACCCACTCTCACTTCCTGTCTCTCTGTGGAGAGCATTACTCTGGCTCTATTGTGTTCCACTGGATCACCTGGACGGAATATGCAGGGTAAAGTGAGTAAGGAAGGATGGGAGACCGAGGAGAGGGGCTAAAAATACTTCAGAGGGGAACACTTGTTTGGGTAGTCTTTCCTTTTCTTAGTATTGTATTATTTACACTCTGCTAAAGATATGTTCAAATTTGTTGAAAGATCAACACTGAGTACAAAACAGAAAAATATAATTCACTCATTACAACACAATTATAGCCTCCTGTGGTGAGAAACAGAGACCTGTCCTGAAGGAGTATTGAACTCTTGAGACATTGTCGGCACAAAAGCCTCCACTCTGTTTTCGTTCGTAGCCGTCAGCAGGTGTATATACGTGTACACCTTCACATTTTTGTTTTTTCTTACTTCACTATGCTGGTGAATACAGTATGAGCACTTTGTGTGTACAAGTGCCATCTGCTCTCAGCCTCAAATTAAATTATTCATCCTTTATATATTTATTACCCCACAGCTTCGAAAGACACAAAAAGGGAATATACTTGAATGATTAGAGTCGATACCCTGCTTGTCTATTAAAATATAGTTAGTCCTCTGAAAATATATTTTTAAACGACTGTTAACAAAAGGAAAGAATTTAAAAATGAGGTACCTTTATGATACTACACATGTAAATATAAATTTAAATATTTTTAAAATACAGCTTTTATTGTAGTAATAACTGATATTATTACTAAAAAAATGTAATAACAGATTTTTATTGTTGTGTTTACCAGAGGATTGTTTATCTTACAACACAATTGAGAAAATAAGATTAAAATGTCAGAGGTTTTTCTCTATATTAAGGGTTCTACATTTTACATTTTGACCTTCATCAGGAAACAACGATTGAAATAAAGTAAACACAAGATATTATATACGTTTTTATAGTGGGTTATAATGTTAAATCATGGGCATATTTTTTAAAAAGACATAAAAAGTGTGATCAAGTGTGAGTGAGTAAAATCAGGTTAATTTGTGTCCAGTACATGTCCACATGTCCTACCTGGACAAATAGTCATTACGGATCAACAGCAGGTGTTGCATCAAGGACAGGAAGTGGGTTTCAGCCTTGGAGTCCTTCACAGTGTTGACCAGGATGTCAAAAACTTCCCTCACATCAGTAAAGCAAAAACCAGTTAAGGTCCACTTGATATACAGTATGTATCAACAGTCATTCAGTACTTCTGTATCCAGTATCTCACACTTTACTAAAACGAAAAAGACACGGGACATCTAATCACACTGACATATTTATACTAAAAAACACCATAACCAACACAGTGGGATTTTTAAAATTCATTTGACCTGCTGTGATATTTACACTTGCAGTAAAACATAAAGAGACACTGCTTTGTCCACAGGAGACACCTGGTGTTGTAAACTGCAACTGCAGCCAGTTTTTATTACCACTAAAATGTAGTAGTTTTGTTTATAGTTATTAATCTGGCTCAGTTCCAAAAACGGGATATAATTTGTAACTCTTATGCAAATTAATATGGTTTCTGAGCCATAATCAAACCCAGAACAAACAAAAAATCCAGACAAAAATGGGACAATAATGAACGTGGACGTTTCGGATTAAGTAGTTATTTTTGTTACTTATTACCGTTATGAAAAAAAGTGTGCAGTCTAGAATATTGTTAACTAAACTCAGGGAAGAATATTCATTCCTTCTACTCTCACCAGCAGACCTTAAATTTTTTTCTGCAGTGGAACATTTATCCCACAGGGGAAGGATATTCCATCTCCATACGGATGTCATCAAGACGTGTTTTCAGGTCCTCAGAGTCATCCTCCGCCTGCTCATCAAACACTGTAAGTTGCACCCTCAACTCTTCATTCTCTATCGTCCTCACCTCCTGCAGGGAGAGTCAGGGAAGGATAAAGAGACACTGCGTGAAAAACAGGATGAGTGAGACACTCGTCTACTGAGTGTGAATAGTTGGGAAAGTTTTCACGGTACAGAAATTGCCTCAGTCGTTTCGCAAAACAATGAGACGTGCGTGGAAAATGCAGGCTTGTCAAATATGTATTGGAGTCACTTTGAGACAAAGATCAAAAGTGTTTGTCTTTGTTTACCGTCAGCAGTTCTCTGAGTCCCAGTCTGAGGAGTTCTGAGCGAATATGGATCCTGAAGTCCAACTCTTCTCCTCGGCTGATTAGGGCATTGATTAGCTGCATGCAGCCGCCCTGTGTAAAATACAAACAAATGACACATTTAGATCAAGGACACACTCAACACAAGCAGATCATTAACAAGTGTCTTAGGAAAAAAATCACTAAGTAATCACTTTTCACTTTACAATAACTGATTGTATGCATAAAAAACAAAAAAAAATCACTAAGTAATCACTTTTCATTGACCTGATATTGACCATTTATCATTTGAAACACTGACTCAAATTTAAATAACTGATTGTATGCATAAAAAAAACATTATTAAATCAGTTCAGATATATTAAATGAAAACTGTCTGGAGACCAGTGCAATTAGTTGTAAAAGGCCATTTCTGGGGTCAAGTAAAGAAATGCTATATTTGACATTACATTAATGTCATAATAGATGTTTAATGTGAAAACAATGAATGTGAAAATACCTTAGGGACTGGAACTCAAGTGTCTCAGATGGATTAATCACTAGTATTTTAAAATTTAACTTAATTTCCCATAATAAACAAATCAGGTCAAAGCTGCTAGGACATCACTATCACAATTTATTTTAAAAAAAGTATCAAGCTCAATTGCACAGTACTGTAGTTTTGTCCCCATATCAAGTGCAGGACAGTTTAGACTAACGTTTCGATAACGATATACAATTATAATGACAAAATTATAATGAGAATATATTAAAGCATTTAAATGAATGTAAAGCATTAAACATAAAACTTAATTTCAAAACATAAAAATAATATATTTAAAAATAACTTATTTTCTTTTTATGTCAATGATGAGATTTAGGACATATCAACATTCTGATAGGGTCACCTAAAGATATAATTATAGAAATATAATTAATGAAAGGGTGGTGTGCATTTATTTGGACACTGTTGAGCTAACTACTAGCTACATATCCAAATAGATTCAAGATTTTTCTGAATGAAGTTTTATAAACAGGAGTGGCCAGGCATTAAAAGGTTGTTGAAAGGTTGTTGTCAACACACACCTTGAGAGCAATGTTGGGAATGTTCATGCCGGCGAGGAGAGGCTGAAACCTGTCAATATCCCGTCTCTCAGCCTCCTCTGTTATGGCCTCCAATACACGCTCATGTCTGCAAAAAACATCAATTGACTCATAGTATGCGGTTTCTGTTATTGACAGTTAAATCAAAGATGAATTATGTGACTTTACTTTAAATTGTTTTATAACATTTTACTGCAACTCACAGGTTCTCAGGATGCTCCAGAATAGAAATGGCAGAGAGCAACCTGACAGCATCAACCATCATGTGAGGCACTGTAGGGTTGATGGCTCTGACCAGCAGAGGAATTCCCTCAACAGAATCCAGCATGGATTTCAGACCATACTGAAGTGGGCAGAGAGAAAGTCAGGGGTGAAACAGAGAACGTCCAACAGTGGCTGTTTTATCTATATTAACTTGATTACAATTTAAAATTTTGAACATGACCAGAATTTAATATTACAGACTGTATAAATGTTGCTTTAGTTTAACAATGCCCTCTAGTGGACAATGTCCGGCATTACAACAAGAACAACAAGGACTTCTAATTTGCGGCAAGGATTAAAACATTTAAATGTAGTTCTTTAAACAGTTAAAAAAATCCTACCTTGTTGTTCATGAAGGCCTTAAGACACCGAATGATCTCATGTTGGCATTTCACTCCCATCATTCTAATTAAAAGGGGAAGGAAGACATAAAGGATTATGCAAATTCAGTGCTAAAAATAACATTGCCAAATCTGCATAAATATCTTACGGGTACTCGTCTTTCTCTTCTTGGAGTTTTCGCAAAAGACTGAGGAGCAGGGCCAGACCCTCAGCTCCAAAGTTCTGTACCCAACTGGAAAATACAAAAATAATAGCGGTTTTGTTTATTGTTATGTTCTCTACCGTAGGGATATTTCCAACATCTTACTTCACTGCGTATACCAAAATGTGGTAATGACACTATTTAGCTGCAAAAGCAGCTTTATGAAGTCGGCTCTGTCTGTGGTAACACTGCAGACATGATTATATTATTGTGATTTCTGTTTGCCTTAAGGTTTCAGGATTATAAAGCATAACAATGACCAAAATTTAAAAAAAAAAAAAAAATTGTGTTTGGAACTGTGTTAATTGCAACAGGAATCCGACATTTTACCTAAAGCTTTTAATGTTTATTAGGATCAACACAGTGGAATGCAGTGTAAGGACACGTCTACGTCACCTGACAGGGTTGTTGTTGAGTGAGACTCGTAGAGACTCCAGGCAGCCCAGCAGGTGTGTGTCCCTGTAGTCTGACTTTAACTCCTGGATGTACATCATGGCTGATTTGGAGCTCTCCTTCTGGTTCTGGCCCTATTTATGATACAAAAAAAAAACATCTAACTGTTTACTTTTAGTAAATTCAGCACTACGATCTGTTTATAGCAATAAAGCATACAATAGTTTAAGGTCAAAATGCCGTTGGATTGATAGTGACTTATTTAAAAAGTACAAAGGCATGTAGCTGTAGTGAATGAGTAGTGTACAACTGGTACTGACAGCTTTGGACGTGTGTAAGTACTGAGACACCATCTCCCGCTTGATGCTGATATCTTTCTCTCTCAGAGGTTGCTGCTTCTCATCGTTCAGATTCATATCCACCTGGAACAGAGATGTGGAAAAGAGAGGCGGAAGGGGGTCAGTTTGAAAAGCGGATAACAAAAGCAACAGATAGCTGTATGGACCTAAGTTAACAAAAAACTAACAACTCTTAAACATCTTCGTCATGTGTTTTTAGATCTTTGAGGGACAAAGAACAGAGGATGAAATATTTCTAGCAGACAAGAAATGATAATTATCACATTTGTCAATATATGTGAATGTATTCATCTTCAAACACACACACGGTCTCACCAGCATCTGTTCAAAGAGCTCCAGGACGTATTCGTCAGAATGATCATGCAGCATGGCAGACTGAGCACTGATCTCATAGCTGGCAGCAGCAGAGTGACGTTGACTAGGGACTTGTCCAGGTTTATCTTTGTCCTTCTTCATCCTCATGCTGGTGAAACGTTCCAGCTGTTATAGTAAAATTATTTGACACAAAAAAGATCAAACACAATTCACAATGTTGTTATTTCTTTCAGTTAAAAACAGCTAAAACTTTTGAGATGATGACTACAAAAAACCAATACGTTTTTGCACACACTGAGCAGGCCACATAAAAACAACATGTATGTTAACTTTGTTGTGGGAAATGTTACTTTCTTAAATAGGCTTGTTTTCTGAAGTTGGCCCACAGGAATTCTCAGGTAGTTATATTTTATAACAGCATCCACTCAAACTACATGCAATCTTGGCACTTGGTGGCATTGGAATCACCTATAATGACTAAATTAACATAGTCCCATAAGTGCAACCCTCAATAACTTCTATTTCTCAAACTTAGAGGCATCACATGCCAAGTCAGTGCCAAGTTTTATTTTTGTCAGTGTACATCTTTATAGCAGGCATTGTCAGTAGAAGACACACACACTGAAAACATAAACCAAGAGGATTGATTAGGTGGCGACACACATGACATTAATGAACAGACTAAGTATTAGGCACCACAAAGACAAAGTGACAGATGCACACAGATAGTATATGTGAGCTGTAACAAACCTACCTCATCAGGAATCAGACGTTTGAGCTTCTGCAGAAAGGGAATCAATGAATGAGAAAATACAGAAAGGAATGGGGGGTGAAATAATCAGGAATAAAGGACAGTAAGAGAGAAGGTTGGAGGGAGAAAAATAAAGATAATTAATTAGTCTGAAATTATTGTAAAAGTAAAGAGATCCTGGAAAAGATTACAGTTGATTGACATCACGTTCACCAAGTAAAAAAAAATCATATCTTAACTAAATAGATTTATAAGACAGTATCATTTGAGTTAACCAGACATGTGAAAGGCTGTAATTACCGATTGGCACATAACATTAGATGGAGGGGGAAATGTGTTACACATGCCTAACGTAAATGAGGAAAAAGCCATAAAACTGCACTTGCAGTCTTTGGCCAGTAGAGGTCAGGCTACAGCAATTAATTGTCATACTGGGGCACCATTAGTATGATACGTACATGAGCAGAACTGGTCAAAGTCAGACCAACAGATCAAATCAAATTAATATTAGGAATGGACCGTTAACTGCAGCAGAAGTATAATTACAGATTTACATGCATGAATTTGTGTCTCTATTCATTTAATCTCACACTGACATCTGATATGAATGTAAATACATTTTTCTTTGGAAATTATTTAAAAAACAAACAATATAACAAAAATAACAAACAAACTGACTTAATAGATGAGCTGTATTTTTGGACACTGTTACTTTGATTAATCCTGTGAAGGAGTGCAAAAATAGCTGCTCTTAAGGGGGTGAGTCCTTTACTACAGTTGGCAGAACTGGGCATGTTAATTGGATATTCTTGTTTACCAGGAGAGCAAGACAGGGAGGGACAAAAAGAAGTAGACGAAAAGAAAGGATTGTGATTACAAAGACAGGAGTCTAGAGAGGGGTGGTGGGAGCTTACACAGCTGCCACTTAATAACTGAGCCTGAATCGATGCACAGGCACACAGAGAAACGGCAGCTGATGCATGAAAACTCGTGTTGTCGTAGCACTCGTACCTCTGAAAGAAATAAACACCCGACTGTAGATTTTGTGTTACTTTTTGTGTCACACACAATTAAAAACAGGCACTGATGAGAAAACTAATTCAGAGTCGACATTAGGAATTTAGATAAAGAGCGATGAAGCTTTAACAGGGGGTGGGGAGGGCAGTGGTGGCTTGGTAGTTAAGGAAGCAGATTTGGGTCCGGAAGCAAATTTGACCTGATCAGTCAAAAACGTATCATGTTCGCTGAGGCAGAACAGTAATTAAGCATTTTAGTGCTTAGCTGCAAAGCATAAAGTGGCAGAGCATGAGAGTGCAACGGTGGACAGGGTGCACCTGGTAAGAAATTTACTTAAAATACCTCAAAAGACCAAGGATTCCTGACAGTCAACAAATATAATGTTCAACAAGTAGAAATTAATTTTCAATAACCACTTTTCTGTTTGTACAAGACTTTATTGGCAAAAACTTGGTTAAGAATTAAATGCTTTCTCAGAAAGGTACCATGACGTGTCTGTTGGAAAAGCCAATAACAGAACCAATAGCTTTTTTATCATGTTTAAATATATATAAAAATGTTTTTAATAATAACATATAAAATATAAAGTATTGTGGAGGTTAGTTCCAAGCAGCACATTTACATAAAATGCTGTTACGCCAAGATCTTATTAAAGATGAATAAGACCAAATGTATTTGTGATACACTGATCCTTAGAATTACTTTTTAAGTACTCCATTTGATCTATGGTGAAAGAAGTCTTAGAGCTTAAAAATCAAAGGGTTTGGATGATTAATCAGTCCATTTGGTGAATATATAAATGTATGCATGTCCCAGGTGCTCATATTTATTTTTTAATACTCAATGTTTTCAGATTAGGTTTAAAATCCCTTTGGTGAGGATTTCAGGGGGTTGGATAATACCTGCAATTTAAATATATTAACTCATGCTCTAGGACGAGAGAAATTCCATAGACAAAAATATGTCACCAATTAGAAGGGAGGGATCCCTTTACAAGCGCTTCCCCAGTTTTCCTCTAGGTCTGGGCAAAAAGCATGCCCACAAACTGCTTAATTTTAATTCAGAGAGTTCCTAAAGCACAGGCAGTCAGTTAAATGGGGTGATTCATCTAATCAACTATCAGTTAAATGGGGTGATTAGGCTCAGACTGGTGCACTAGAACAGGACAGATTCCTTCCTTACTTCATTTTAGCAGAATCTTTTATCACATGTGAAACATGCATGGGTACAAACTGACCACACATTTATGAATCTAAATCTGGAATAGAATAATTACCGGTTGTCCGTTGCATGACACAGTCAGACCACTGTACCAGTGATGTTCTTGATGTAAGGCATTTCTTTCAGGTGTTTGGCGAGACCTCCCTTCATGCTGTCTGTCAATTCCGATAATACTCATACAGAGATCAGACAGAAAAACTGATGTGGAATTTCCAGGAAATTTTAGACAATATTAAAAAAAAGCAGAAAGCAAGGATCTTTAGACCCACTTCTTTTAGTGTTCTTTTTGGGTAAACCCATTTAAATATCAGTACCTGGGCTTTTACTGACAGATCATCAATCCCCACACACTCTTGCAGTGCCTCAATGAGAAAATAATTATACAGCCATGATGAAAGTGGGGAAAAAACGAGGACAGAGATTAGTCTGTTTCAGTCTGCTCCCGTCTCTGAGAGCAGACAGCTAAAGAGATCCCGAATCAGCACAGGCTGAGAGAGATATAATAAGCAAGTCACGCACTGCTACTGATACCAGACATGTTTAAGTAGCAGATCCAGACAGTGATGAGATATTATATGTAAATTAGAGAAAGAATAATGAAAACTGAATGCAGAAGAAGTAGAGGGAAAGTGGTCACTTTTAGCACAGATAAGTGCAACTGCAACTTTTCTTGATTTAAAAACAATAGATTAAAATTTGAGATGTTGGTTAAGGAGATATTTTTCTTTTTAAATGGATCTTTCAGAAGTACCACTGAACTTTTAAAGGCTGCCAGAATATGACTATGGCTATGTTTCTTTATTGATAGCAAGCGAAGAAACTAACATCACTTTCAATGTACCATTACTCTCAAACCCCTCTTTACTAATAAAAACTGTTCACCCCACAACCTAAATGACTAATGTAAATAGTAATCTTATGAGTTAACTTCCTTCAACAGAGGTGGAGAGGGTAATACTTCATAGCATTGCAATGTTAATTTTGCTTACTGTGTTGTCAAGGCTACAAGCTTGTATCATGCATGGGGAAGCAGCACTTACAAGGGCACACCCAGAACCAGCAGTAGTGAGTTTACTTCACAGAACAGATAAACCAGGAAATTACTTTAAACTGCACAAATAACTGCAGACTGTGGAAATAACTGCACAAAGCTGCTTTAGGAATGAACCCTACAAGACAGTAGATAGTGATAACAGTTACCACTGAATCATCCTTGTTTCCCAAGTCTCTTAAAACAAAGCTGTATTATTTCCAGGAATGACACCAGGTTTCAGAGGTTGCAACCACTGACCCTCTGATTCAAAGTTCTGTTGGGTGCATTTACAGTCCACAATGCCAGAAATTAGTTTTAATTGAGATCAGATTAATACTTGAGCAATCAAAACTGACTTGTGCACTGTCTACCGTACAGGTCTTGTTGCGCAAATAAATATGTCAACATGTGTTTATCAATGTGGTAGTTTTGTGCAATCAATGTCAGTTAGTTTGGTAGCATGTTTTTTTTTTTTACTCTCAGAGACTCAGACATTTTTTCTGAAAAACTCAAAAGCTCAGCATCACCAGTCACACTAAATACCTTGGCAATTTTGTTCTTTCCGCTAACTTATTAACAGACACGATGACATTTCAAAGATATTCATGAATCGAATGTGTCATGGGCCATAACTAAACATATACACACCTTTTCACAGCAATATTAACCCTGTTATGTGGTGATAACTACTGTACAATTAATAAACAATTAAAGTAAAAAATAATCCAGCCCTGAGGAATTTACATTGGCCAGTGCATTTAACATTTTACCCCAGTTTCCATTACTCTCCTTTTTGTAAGATTCTGGGAGAGGTGTGGCTCAGTTAGCTCTCTGTTCTTTTGGTAATAAACCTATATTTAGCTTTTAAATCATTCCATTACATCAGCGTAAGTGAGCAGACAGCTGTTTTTTCATCACCATTTAATAGAGTCTGATGATGCATCTCACAACAAGATTTTCCCCACCACAACAAAAGGCCTTGCCAGAAAACAGTTCCTATCCAGGTTTGTAATTTGAAGTGATGTGGGATTTAACAAATAGGATTACGAGAAACACCCAGTGATATCTAAAAGAGGTTCAGCTAAGCCAACCGCACTACTGGCACACGATTAAATGATTTCCTCAGAAACCAGGAAAAAAGGAGTGGTTATGTTCATATGGGTTAGAAAAACAACACAGGGAAACATGGCCAGCTTGCAATTCTTACAAGCAAATTATAATACCATTGAATCATGTTAATAGATTACAGGCTAGGAAAGTGGTTGGTACTATCTGAGTGTGGAGTCTGTGGAGGGAAGACAAAGTGGTGACATCCCCATTATTGCCATTTATTAACTTGTTTCATTTATGATTTTTTTTTTCATCTTATCAGATAGGGAAAATACTAAATTTAACATTAGGTCATCTATACAATATTAAGAGCTACATTGGAAGGTATAATATGTGTATTCTATTTTTGTAATAGATATACAGCTGCATGCAGCTTTTATCTGTTTAAATTGCTGTTTAAAGACACAATATCATTTACATTTTAAACATACAACATATGTTCACATGATTATTAGATTATTACCATGATTATGCAAGACTTCTGAAAGTTAACACAACCAGGGCCTAATGCTGGCTGGTGCTAAAGCTAAAAGGCCAACTTTTTGTCGGTGCTGAAGACTGTACTGTTCAAGGAGATGCTACTTATTACATCCATCACCCAGCCACATGGTTGTGACTTGGCTGCTTTAGACAAGCCAACCAAGCTACC